GTATTTTCTGTGATCATCAATCCTATTTGCAACTTTCAAGTGTCTCCATGTTCTGCGTCAGAGGAGTTTGTATCAGACAATACCTGGAGTGTCTCCATTAATCCAAATTTTAAAAATCAGTAACTGAAACAAATCAGCATTTGTGCACTGACTGGAAAGAAACCTTGCAGACTCTGTGTGACTGACAATCTGTTCTTTGGTATCTATAAAACTCCCTCCCCTGTCCTTCTCTAAAAAAAAGAAGAGTCAAAGCAAAATCCTAGCAGCTCAATTGAATCTTTTTAGAGACAGTGTGGTTTCAGTTATGAGAGGATGGAAAAATGAGAACCCTGGAGATCTTCTGGGAACATTAAGCTTTATTAATCAGGCGTGTATTAGCCACATACCAACATTCCCAAACAGTATACTGAATCAGAGAATGTCAGGGAGCAACAGAACCCATCCAGGCTGGTCTTCTGTCTTATGGGAAGTTCTACCACTACCTGAGAGATGGTTTTCTAAGCCATTCCTTAAAAAAGAAACTTCCCCTGCTTCCACAGCACCTACAGGTTGTGCATTACAGCACTTTACAGCTGATACAGTCAGAAGATGGTTCCTGATATACAACTTGGTAATTTTCACTGCTCATTGAACTGATTTCTTTAGGTCTTTCTCCCAGTGGACATGAAGAACAATTAATCACTGTGCTCCTGATTATAAGTTTTCACTAGATTATTTTTTTTTAATCATATTCTCCTTAACGTACAACAAAAGCAACACTTTCAGAAGCATATAATGCTACGTAAGGCTCCTATATATCCTCTTGCCCTTCGGCTAGATAACAATCAACCAGTTTCTGCTTTCTCAGCAGTTTTAACTCCAGGACAATTTCTGCCTTGACAAACATTTCTGACCTCTCCACATTTCCACTGGGGTTCCACAGGTAGAAATCAGGGCAGAATTTATCCCCATGAGTTTCTGGATTAATGCCTTGGTATAGGAAGGGGAAAAGCCAAAATTAATTCTCTTTGTTACTGCTAACACTATTCCTCAGTGACAGTCAGCCCCAAGACATTGATCCTTGTTCAAAGCAAGTGCTTCCCATACTCATTTCCCATTTGCAGCACAGCTTCTACAAGCCCCTATCTTCTGCATCAAAAGGAAAAAAAGACAAAAAAAAAGAAAAGAAAAGAAAAAGGCTTAAACTCATGGGGGTTTATGTTTTGTCAGAGGAACAAGAATCGGGAATTTGCAGGACTCAAAGCCCATCTTAGACCTGAAATTCTAGTTAAAACAGCAAGTTACAGGAGGGAAGGACAGATCCTATATCTGCCAAGAACTGTGAGGATTCTTGCACTATGAAGAACATGGTAGGGTGACTTGTTTGTTGCTTCAAAACTCTTCCTTCATTTGAAAGCACTACTGTGATGGACGAAGCCCTTCTCAGCCCTGACATCCTGACGCTACACATGCAGCCTGCACTCTGGGATGCCAGCTTACTGTGTCACATTGGCTCGGGTTCTGCCTGTTCCTTTCTTTATGCCTGCAAGCTCAATTGAACTTATGAAAATTCAAACTGTCTTCTGTCTGTTTCATACATCATCAGCAAACAATCACTAGACAAAATGAATTTGCTTTATGTAATTTGTAGGCTACACAAATGCCTATGCTGTATGATACCAACAAAAAGGGAATAAAGTTTGCTTTAATTCAGCATGGAGGGAAGTAGCGAAGCAGCAGCACAGAGAGAGAACACAAACAATAAAATACTCAACAGTAGGGAGAGTGACATGAGAAATACTTCTGTAAATTGGAGTTGGCCTCGATACCTTTGAGTGATGGAATTAAAAAAAGGCATAAGCAAGTTGTGAAAGACTACCCCCACAAGTGGCCGTATCTCCATCCATTGTGATTTGGCAACACAATATACTTATTAATAATAACAATGGTTACTATTTATCCTCTAAGAGCTTTGCAAACACAAATTCAATAATGTTCAGAGAGTTGTATCAGTTTGAACCAGATTGAAAATGGGATCTGCTGAACAAGGCACAGTGAAGTTTAATGACTTGTCCAATGCCACTCATTGATCCAGCATCCATTAAGATTACAACATTGGATCTCTTGGTCAGCAATCAGATCACAAACCTGTGTAAGGTTGAAACCTTGACAAACCAGCTTCTTTTTAACAAAAATAACATGTCATATAATCTTTATTGCCCTCGGCCCTTGGCAAGGTAACTAAAACCATTGCTTTGAAAGCACATCTACTGCATCTCTTGTATAGGTTTACAAGGTTATGCGTGCAGAATCTTCTCCACAAACAGTACGTTGCCACTGTCTCATTCCAAAATCATGCAGATGCTGAACGTGAGCAGAGGTAGCTGTTAATGCTTAGCTTAATCCTATTTGGGCTCAGTTGCAAAGAGCAAAATACTTAAAATCCTTTAAGTATTTGAGTAGTCCCATTGACCTCAATGGATCGACTTGCCTATCAACCCACAGCTGATAGTACAGAGCAGACAACACAGAAATCAGCCCACAGACTTTTTCCATAAAGAGTGTACCTGCACCACATTTAGAAAGATGAGTTCTCGTGCAGCTGTCTGACAGATGTTCATGTGTTGTGAACATGTATTTTCTTCTAATGCCAGGCACCAAGTCAAGTATATTTTATATTACCCAAAAATTTGGTCCATCTTATATTAATCAGTTGCTTTAGAGACATCCCTACCCTAAAGCAAGATTTCCACCCTTCAGTTAAAAAAATCAAATACAAAACTACCAGAACACAGTTTGCTTTTTCTTCTTGCTGTTTTTGGGTTAGTATAGGAAAGTCATACTGGTTCACCTTATTAAAGATCTGATTACAGCAAACAAACAGAAAACAAAGGAAATCCTTAAACCAAACCTTCCTCTATAAAAAAGTGCCATCATTTTTATTGTGGCAAGTAACGAGTTGCATGGACACCAGGTGTAGTAAGAATCTCATCCTCATTTTACAGGATGCATATGCATATGTAAAAGTTTCTTCACCTTATTCTTCTGTATTCCAGAGAAAGGCTGTATGCCAAGGCTACAGAACTTAGGAGCAGCTAGAAGTTTAAAAGTGGGGTTTTTTGTTTTAAAGCAAATGATACAAGAAACTTGAGGATTAGAAACAAACTTTTACTTCATGGAACAGAAAGAACTAGGCAGAAAAGACTTGGGAGTCATGATCCCATACTCCATTCCCAGTTTGACCACTGATTCACTTGGACCTTGAGAAAGCTGCCTAACATCTGTGTTGATGCACTTGATGCTCCAGATTAAAAAAGAAAAAAATTAAAAAATATTTCCTATACGTGTTTTACACTAGTGTATTTTTTTCCCCCTCCAAAGCCTAGAGTTGCACATAACTAAAAAAAACCAGCACATTCCAGGCATCATCAATCATCAGGTCCATATATTGCTACCTGTCATTTTGCCTTAGGGCAAAATAGTTAGTGACCATTTGGATCCTAAGGATTCAAAGAACTTGTCTAAATTCACTCCTCACTCTGCTCTTGCATTTTTGAAAGAGAATTACTTTCCAAAAAAAAAAAAAAAATTGTCCTGGTTATTCACACTGAATAAGAAGACAAGTATGAAATTCTGTACTCACAGATTCAGAAGAGGTCTCCTATTTTTACCCAAACACCTCCCTTTAAATTGCTGCTGGACCCAGCAAATCCACGAGTGTTTTCAACTCTGCTCACCAGTGTAATTTCAAGGTTAACCTCTGGTGGCCAAGGAAGCTGCTCATATTCAGCAATGATGAGCAGAAAATGTTAAATACCATTCACTGGCCACAGCCTGCAGTTAATACACAATATTTAAACAACACAATGGCATGGCCCTTGCCAGTAATGTAAAAACACAATGGAATAGAGCCAGAATGGCACAATCTGCCTGTCTGAGTCATGCTTGGCACTACATGCTGGAAGGGGCATGCATTAGCTGCCCACAGTGTGACTGTACCCTTTAGCTAGTTTATAATAAAACATTAAAATATATTAAAAAAAGAAAAAGGGGGGAAGGAATGATAAATCCCACCTAATAGTTAAAATATTTTAGCCCTGAAGTACAAAAGCATCACTTTGGAAGAAGGCTCTGGATTTCATTATAGACTGCACATTTTGATCTCAAACAAGAAAACAAACTGACTTTGCTTTGTAATATTCCCCAGCTTTGTACTCTTCAACTGAAATCAATCTTTTTCTTACTAAGTACAAGCTCCTGGATTTTTTTTTTCACTTATTATTTCATTAAATAATAAGTATCTGAATAAACCATATTTTTCAATCCTCTTTTGCATGCCTGTTGTTCAGCCATAAGAGTTCCAAATCTTAATTATTAACCCAAGTAGATTCAATAAACCGATTTTAAATGAGGGTAGATCAGAGTGATGTACAATCTGACCTGCATTTATGGAATAACTCTCCTCTTAGAAAGAGACTCCTTTCTTGCTGAGAGACATAGATGTTTTTTTGACTGTTTTGTTGTGTCACAGCACAGATGAATTAGGCATTTCTGCCTTCATCTACACCCTAAAGCAGCTGAAGTCCCCTGTGATGTCATCAGAAAGTTGTTTGTTTTTTTTCTTTTATAAAGGAGAAGAATTTGTTACGACATCATAAGAAGAGAATAAATTATTATTTTGCGCTATAAGGAATCTTCTGCTACTTTCTGTTATCTCTGCACCAACATGCAGAAATCCTCACTGACAAAGCAACAGGAACTGTAAGTCAATAAACAGAGATGCACCGTATTTCTAATAATACTCAAAACAAAGCAGAAAAGAAGGATCTATTCAGTGGTCTGAAATTAAAGATCTGCTAGATGTAAGTTCCTTTTTAATTTTTAAATAAAACATCCTTTGAACTTCTAAATCCTATTCAAGGGGACTCTGACCTTTATCCAAAACCAGCCACTGTGCTAACACTTTGGATGCATATAGAGGAAAAATATGGACAAAAGGTACCGGAAAAGCTTTTACTTACAGGAACGCAGAGCAGCTTAATCTTTTTGTTTTTAAGGTGCAGTGATTTCAGCATCTACAATGTAACTTCAGGCAGTCTGAAAAGAAACAGGTTAAAATCTCTTTCAGTTATAATTGGTATTTCAGATTTAATTAAAAATTAAACTTTCATAATGTTTCACCATCCAAAGCAATGCATTATCAGTCAAGCGTAGCCTTTTTTTTTTTTTTTTGTTAAAAGAAGCTCTTCCCAGAGTAGTTTGCAATGAAAGAAGAAGGGGAAAAAGGCAATTGAGACTAGCAAAAATATTTCTTCAGAAAAAGATCTCGGAATAACTTGGAAAGAAGCCTTCTGCCGCTTAATTTTAACAATCAACCTTATACTAATTAAAAAAAAAGGCATCACAATTAAAGAAGACAGAAAAACACCATCACATACCAATGACTGTGAGGAGAAAAATGTTAATTTCAGCAAAACAAGGACATTGCTAGGACCAGAACATACGCACCAAAAGGGAAAATATGGTTTTACATAATGCCAGCCAACAATATTTTTAAAAATTCGTTCTACAGCATGTAGCACTTTCAGACTGTTGCACGGAGGAGCAGAGAAAGACAAGTTCAAAAAGAGGAAAGCAGTTTTAAAGTGTACAAGGCAAAAGGTCCCTTGCAACCTTTTGTTAAGGGATATGAAACAGCTCATCTGTAAAACTGCACAGTTTTTTATCATGTAAAATAAATGTCACGTTACTGTGCAAAACAGATGATTAAGAAGTGGTAGCTGTAGACATAGCATTTGAACAGATGCAAAAAAAATATATTTTTTTTAAAAATGCAGTTGGAATAGTTGGAATGACAATAAAACTCCAGGGGTTGCACCATAAATATGAGTTTAAATGTTAGACTGGAGTTTAAAACCTGTGGTTTTAATTATATCTAATTATAAAGGCTCCAAAACCAGGAGAAATGAGAAAAACAAAAAATATTAATAATAAATTAAAACAATTTTGCAATAAGTTGTCAGGATTCAGCCTCATAATAACAAACCATACAGCAATATACACAGACACATACAATGTACCAATGACTCCTTAAAGGAACAAATCAAAACTTGATTAAATTTTATTTTTAAAAGGTGACAGCAGAACTTGCCTAATTTATCTAATTCAAAGCCCAAGATATTCTCTTCACCAGCAGCACACTAACAGAGATCGGCAAATAAATCCTGGATGTGAATCTAATACTTATTTTGAATGTTCCTAAGTTCCTAAGTGAAATTTTGCTTTATTCTCTCATCAGTAAAAATCTAGTTCTTCAGACTTCAGAGTTATATGAGCCTTCTCAACCCATCCCCACATGTTTAAAAATGAAATGCACTGTATCAGACAATATCCTGTCACACAAACGTGCTCGAACACACATGTATATCACAAACAAGAATGAGCTCATGAACTTATTTGTAGGTTTAACTTTCCCACTCTGCCAAGATCAGAGGTATTGAAGGTCAGGAGACAAAGCACAGAGGGGGACAGCAAAGCAAGAACCAGAAACAATTCTTGAGCATTTGAATAATGGAACAAGAGCCCCCTGACACAGGCAGTAGGATGATGCCACAAGATAACCTTTATAGGCTTGGATGAAATTTTTCCTGAAGGAAGCATTTGAGAAACACGTTCTTCATCCTTTACACAAACATTATATCAAACAATTTTCCTTCTTTCTCCTGACTGGTGTGTAGTCAGACTGAGAAACTGGGGAGAAACCCAGGCAAGAAAACTGGTAAGTCCATCAAAAGCAGGCAACAGCACAACTGTCACATAAGTTATAACAGCTTCGGTCTTTGGACTTCCAATTCTTTCCCTTCCTTCCCCTTCCAAATTTACCCCTTTTCTAACATCTTCAGGACTGTAATACTGGCAGACAAGGAGAGGGGCAGCAGTATTTACAATCCAAAGCTATTTCTTCTAATGAATGCAATGAAAAACTGACCTCAACTGAGAAAACAAAGAGCATTCACTGAGGGTGAAATGTATCCCTGTGTAGAGAGCCAGCGTACAGACTGCACCACTGAAGCCCTATTCCAATGACCTAAATAGGAATAAATTGGTGCATGGACTTCACCACAGTAAGTTTTGTCCAAATTCTTGTAGAGAACGAGGAAACATGGCCCTCTCCTATCAAAGCACAAGGGCATAGAACCTCCTTCCCATGCTGGGCACCATCCTGACAACTGCTCTTCAGTGTATATCCCTTTTATTTTTTACCTTAAGTCCTTTATGCTTTGCACACGTTCTTCTGATTGGAAAGGAGGGAATGCAACATTTAGTGTTACTCTGGAAGTTGAGCATGAGGGCATAGTGCCTGCAGATAAAATGGTCCCTCTCCTCGAGGCAGGCACAACCAGCACACGCTACGATCCTTCCACTAAAAGAAACACAGCCTTGGAAACAGCTCTTTATGAGAGCATGTTCATTGCCACCTTGAAAAACTTGTGATTAAATAACCATAGTTAACAGAGCTCCTGACATACAACAAACACAGCCAGAGCACCTTAAAGAGCTATTTTAGCTACAAATTACTGTAAAACCCAGGGAAAACCTCATTAAACTCAGAATACCTATCACTGCCACTTAGCAGTATCTTCCTTTTACAAACTGAGAAACCTGTGACTTCATCTGTATGAGTCAGAGGTAGAAACAGAGGTAGATTCTTAAGCAGGGGGCCTGCATTTCTGTGCACAGGTGATGATGCTTAACACCTGTGGAGCAGGAGATCATGATTGTTGACTGAAAGGAGTGCCCTAATTCCCTTCTGGAAAGCAAGAGACATGGCTCAAGAATAAGGCAATGAACTTCTACTTGAGAGAGGTCCAACAGCTGGAATGGCAAGAATGAAGACTATGGCAGGTCAGGAATGAGGCACGTGAGTAAAGTGTTAACAGTAGAGCAAGTGCTAGCTCTTAGGAAAGGCTTTAAAAACAAATATGAGAAGGTAAACACGCTTTGCTTTCTTATGATTTCTGCTTGCCATAAAGCTTAGGCAGAGACTGAAAACCGTGAGAGGAAAGCTACCGACTGTACGACTGAAGTTCATTAGCAATATTCCATGACTTACAAGGGCTCCTGACTCTGCCTGACTCATGTTTATGGTCTAGTTCCCCACTTTCATAAGAACCACATTCATTCCATCTAAAAATTAAAGAATACAGAACAAAAAAAAAGTATAATTTGTTGTTGGGAAACATTTCAGAAGATGTCGGCTTTCTGCAACTCTTAGCAAAAAGGAAGTTCCATATCTGTGAGGTTTTGATTTTCTTTGAATACCTTAAGTCAGATGGAGCAGGTTAATTAGAATCCTATACAGCTGATTAGTTATGAGGACAGGGAAGGCTAGGAGAGAATACAGTACAACACTTATTGATATATTTAGAATTTTCTACATACAGAAGTTACATCATCAGTCAATTGATCTTTCTCAAGTTCACTTCTGGAACTGAAAATCAATGATGAAGCAATAGCAACACATAACTACTCAGGTAGGTAAAACACTGATGTCCTGACTCAAGAAAAAACCCCACTGATAATATTCAGAGTCATCTTCAGCAACAGGAAAAGGGGAGGGCACTGGATGACAAACAGACATACACGAACAAAAACAACCCAAGACCTTGAAGAGAATTTTCAAAACTGCTCATGGGCCAGACAAGAGACCTCATTCCAACTTCAGAACCTAAATGACTACTTAGAATATGGCCTAGTTTATTTTCTGGCATTTTAGGTTTGAAAACATAAGCAAGGCTATGGACTAATTGCATCACAGAAATGAAAAAAGGAGTGTCAATGTTTTACAGGCTCCTCAGTTAACAACAAATAAGCAAACTTTGAAATTGGAACCATAGACACACCAGCACAATGCTCTGTCCAGGTTCATCAGTAATGCAAAAGAATAAATCTTATTAAGATAGATACAACATTACACTACTGCTTTTTTAAGGTGAATGCATTTTAGTTGGTATTACTTCTCCATAAACAGCTTTATTTTGTTACCAGTCTCCTGTCTTGAGGTGATAGAACAAAAAAAAAAAAAAAAAAAAAAAAAAAAAAAAAAAAAAAAAAAAAAAAAAAAAAAAAAAAAAAAAAAAAAAAAAAAAAAAAAAAAAAAAAAAAAAAAAAAAAAAAGGAAAAAAAAAAAGTAATGCCAGAGCTTGAAAAAAATCCTTCCAAAAAGCTTTCCTGAATTGGAGATCTTGGTACACTTTCAAAAGTATGCAGGAATTTTTGCAATTTCCAGTTCTGCCTTCAAGCTCACAACCATTTGTATGGTAGAGCAGTGTTGATCTGTGCTCATTTGTAACACTATAGGACTGTGGCTCAAACCAGAGGCACAGGGCTGCTGATGGGAGAAACCTAAGGTTTTTTGTGATTTAGTAGAACAGGAGAGCAGAGGACAACCTACAGCATTGTGCTAGGATCAAGGGTTCCTCCCACTACAGGAATGGACAACAGGAGACCAAAGGTTTCTTTGTCAAAATGGTAAATCTCCATCTGTTATTAGTTCACTGCAAAGATGAGAGCCCACAGAGAATTTGTCTTCCTTATGGCATTCAACTTTTGAGTTTACTTTCCTAGTGAAGACTGTATCCATTATAAATTTTAATTTCCAAACCCTGGCTCTTTCAGCTAGAAGAACATTTTAATCAGGAAAAAGGTGTACTTTTGGCTCCATTTCACACACATCCCCCGATAGTATTTGAACTATTTCGTTCAAGTATGAAAAAAGTACCTTTGGGCAAAGACTAACACTCCTTGAAATCTGGGTTTCAGAAAGTTAGACACTCAACTGAATAAAAGACGCAATGCATAATCCATCCTAATGGTCACTTTGAAACAGGTACTGAATGCAATTTCACCACAAGGGCCCTCAAATTTGTTAGATGTGTTGGATCCCCTAATAGCACAGCCCACCCCTCTCGTTTATTCCTACTGCTAACAGAGTAAGCAACAAGCACTTGAGAAGCCCAGCTGTGAAAGCACATGAGAAGCTGAACTTCTCAACCCACAGAAGAGTTAGTTTCTATAACTGTACTTAAGATCTGACC